GCGTAGAGCTCTCGTCGGCGCGCGCGCTCGTGGTCGCGGTGTACGTCGTAGCGCGCCTTGAGCTTGGCGAGCACCTTGGCCTTGTGCTGGGCGTAGTAGACACGCGACCGCTGGCGACTCATTTCCTTTTGCTCGGGCGAGAGCTGGCGGCGACGGCCGCGTTGGGGCGCGCTGGCCGAGAGCCCAAAGCTCGATGGCGATGTTGTCGTGCTTGTCGTGGACATGGTGCGATGGAAAAATAGCGGCCGACAGAGCACGAATGACAGTGGCCTCCGTGGCTTCATCATGCGCGATGGCATCACAAGGTAACGTGCGGTCGTCGTCCTTGCCCTATTTGAACAGCTGGTGGCCGACCCAGATATGCGCCTGTAAACGATACCATAGAATGCTCAAGTATATTTCTTTGCACGCCACAGAGACCAGACGGAAAGTCGTACTTCAACAAGTCTCCAAATGGGTAAACGCAACAACTGGCCGCTCACCGCCACCATGATTCGCTCCCGATGCGCTTGTCGACGGTACCGCCGCCAGCGTTTTATCCAGGCGCGAGACGTCCAGGGAAATGTGAGAGCGTCCATCCCGAAAAATGCAGAGATGCAGGTCATGTCGGTACAAAGCAGGACACCAGCTCCAGATTGCAGCGTTGTGCAGTTCCCCAGCGCCAGTCCGACGACCCGTTGCACCATCAAGAAAGAACGTTCCGTCGTTGCACCCAGAGGAAGGCACTACCGACCAACTGCGAACGAACGTTCGGTTGCGAACAAGTGAGCAAGTGCAAACGTAAGAGGTGTGCTATTACTCGACGCCTTCAAAGACACAGTCGCTCGCCTCATTGCTGACCACTTCAACGCTCGACGACGTTACATAGTCGTTGTGGTCGAAGTGAGGTTAAAACATAAAAACAAACCCAGTCGCAGCGAGAGAAGACTTTGTAGGGCCGCTCACGAGCCAATATACCGGTATATAATGCCGCCTACTGAAGTGCACTTCGAGTTCGGATGCTTGCTTGACTGTAGAGTTCGGCAATGTTGCGGTCACAAGGTATAGACCAGATCACCCACCACCTGGTATCGCAACGTGGTCATACAAAACCCGTGCTTGGGACTTCTAACGCCGTCACGTATCTGGTCGACGCACATCTTGCCCGATGTCGAAACCAGCGTGAGTGCTTCATCACCTTTTTACGCCAAATAACAGGTGCTGAGCCGCATGGCGCCGTCGTCGTCGTCCCGGCTACCCAGAAAACCTCGTCCTCTCTTTCACATTTTGCCAGTTTGCATTTTGCCTTCATCGACCACGATGCTCAACAAGGAACCGCTGACGACGGAGCGCGTCTCGTACATTGCGTCGTTTGACAAGCACGCCGACGGCAACGAGTACGACGAGGCCAAGACGCCCGGCGACATTGAAGAAGGCGCGCTGCGCATCGGCGACGCCCCCGTGTACACGTCCCCCGAGGTGCTCGCGATCATCTACCAGTACGCGATGGTCGGCATCGTCTACGGCGGCTTCACTGTGATGAAGTACCCGATTCTGACCGGGTACTTTGCGCTCGAGACCAACGTCTTGAGCTCGGCGACGGCGCTTTTGACGCTCGGGTGGTCGCTCAAGGTCGTCTTTGGCATGCTCAACGACTGCTTCCCGATCTTTGGCTACCACCGCAAGCCGTACATGCTCCTCGGCTGGACACTGTGCGCGATCTTGCTGGTCGTGCTCGCGGTCAAGCCGGCGGGCGAGCAAAACTCGCAGTCGGACGGCTCGACGTTTGCGCTCATCTGCACGGTGTGCGGCTTTTGCTACGTCATGGCCGACGTCGCGCAGGACGGGTTGATGTTGACGTATGCGCAGCGCGAGCCGATCGCAGTGCGCGGCCGGCTGCAGTCGATCATCTACGGCACGCGCTTTGTGTTTGCGGCCATCATTGGCGCGATCTGCGGCTTTTGCCTCAACTCGGAGCGCTTTGCCGGCGACTTTGACTGGGACATTGGTGTCAACGGGTACTTTTGGATTCTGGCCGTGCCGTCCGTCATCAACATCCCGGTCGTGTGGTTCTTCATCAAGGACACGAAGCACGAGGCGGTCCAGTTCGGCGTCTACTTCAACCAGCTCTGGACGCTCGTGCAGAAGCGCGCGGTGTGGCAAGTGCTCATTTTCAACTTTTTCTTCAACTTTTTCACGGGCA